TATGTTGACGACATGATCGTCAAGAGCAAGCAGTCGGTAAGCCATGCTGACGACCTGAGGGAGATCTTCGCCATCATGCAGAAGTTTAGCCTTTGGCTGAACCCAAAGAAGTGTACCTTCGGCGTACAGGGGGGCAAATTCTTGGGCTACATGGTGAGCCGAAGGGGTATCGAGGCCAACCCCGAGAAGATCCAGGCCATCATCAACATGGAGCCCCCACGTAACGTAAAGGAGGTCCAACGATTGACGGGTCGCCTGGCAGCCCTCAATCGCTTCTTATCAAAATCGGCGGAGAAGTCCTTACCTTTCTTCCAGATCATGAGGAAGACCGCTGGTTTCCAATGGACTTCGGAATGTCAGGAGGCCTTCGAGGAACTGAAACGGTACTTATCTTCACCCCCTGTGCTCTCTAAACCCAAGGTGGGGGAGATCGTGTACCTTTACTTGGGTGTTAGCCCGGCAGCCATCAGCTCAGTACTCATCCGGGAAGAGGATGGCATCCAACATGCCATCTTTTATGTTAGCAAGACCCTCAGGGAAGCGGAGCTCCGGTACTACCCCGTGGAAAAAACGGTATTGGCTATCGTGTGGACCGTCAAGAAGTTGGGCCATTACTTCCAAGCTCACCCGGTCCAGGTCCTCACTCACCAACCCCTCAGCGCCTTAATGAGGAGCCCCACCAGCTCCTCCCGAATGGTGAAATGGGCTGTCTTCTTGAGCCAATACAACATCGACATCCGTCCTAGACCCGCCATCAAGGGCCAAGCCCTAGCGGACTTCGTGACGGAATGTACGGCAAGATCAGCCGCGGACGAGGAGCCCTCGACCCCTTCGGATGACTGGTGGACCCTCTACATCGACGGCTCCTCCGCTGTCAAAGCATGTGGAGGAGGGGTGGTTCTCATCTCACCCGAAGGCTTCCGGGCCTATTATGCAGTTCGCTTCTCCTTCAAAGTCTCTAACAATGAAGCCGAATACGAGGCCCTCCTCTATGGCCTTCGGCTAGCAGCTAACATGAAGGCCCGACAAATTCACGTCAAGTGCGACTCCAAGTTAGTCGTCGGCCAAATATTCGGGGAGTACGAAGCTAAGGAAGGGAGAATGAAGCAATACAAGGAGGCGACCAAGGAGTTGCTTAAGGTATTTGAGGCACACTCTCTTACTCAAATATCGAGGGCTCAAAACTCTGAGGCCGACATTTTATCAAAGCTCTCGGCAGAATCCCCTGAGCATATCTCGAAGATTGCCAAAGTGGAAGAGCTCAGCCTTTCTAACATACATGCTAGCCCCATCATGCACATACAACAAAGGCAAGGTGACTGGATCTCAGACATTGTCGCCTTCATCACCGCAGGGCAGCTGCCCGAGGATGAGGCCCACACCAAGCTAACAAAGCTGAGGGCTCCGAGCTACATTATCGAGGACGGAAGGCTTTATAAGAGGTCCTACAACGGGACATTACTTCGGTGCCTTCATCAAGATGAAGCCGAAGTGGCGATGGAGGAAGTGCACAGTGGCACTTGTTCAGCTCACCAGGGACCCTTCTCCATGTCCCGAAGGCTAATAATCCAGGGCTACTTCTGGCCCACGATGGCCCGGGATTGTGCAGATCTTGCCCGGAGGTGTCCCGCATGCCAACACTTCCAGAAAGCCCCCGACAGGCCAGCAGTCAACTATGCCCCCATCAGCACATCCATACCCTTCGCTCGATGGGGCATAGACCTTGTGGGCCCTCTGCCGAGGGGTACCTCCAACAACATGTACATCATCGTCGCCATCGATTACTTCACCAAATGGGTGGAAGCTGAGCCCCTCGCCAGCATCACTGAGGCCATGTGCCATCATTTTGTTCTCAAAAACATCCTCACCAGGTTTGGCGTCCCTCAGCAAATCATCTCCGACAACGGGACTCAGTTCGAGGCAACCCCCTTCTGTGCCCTCCTAGAGGCATGGGGCATCAAACACACCTTCTCATCCGTTGCCTACCCTCAGGGCAACGGTCAAGTGGAGAACGTCAACAGGACCTTGCTCGAAGGCCTAAAGAAGAAACTGGAGGCCGAAGGGGGTGGCTGGGTAGAAGAGCTCCACAACATCTTATGGGCCTACCGTACCACCCCTCGGCGGGCAACTGACGAGACACCCTTCTCCCTTTGCTACGGATTTGAAGCTAAGGCCCCCACTGAGGTAACTCTTCCAACCTGAAGGGTCACACAGTATGATCCAGAGACCAATGACGCCAATATGGCCCTCGATCTTCACCTTATTTCAGAACGCCGAGAGCAAGCCTTCATACGCGCAGAGAACTACCGAAGGCAAGTGAAGAGTTACATTGACGCCAAGGTTCACTCCCGGGAATTCCAAATGGGGGACTATGTCCTTCGAAGAAGGGAAGCTAGCCAACCAACCGAGGGCGGAAAGATGGCACCAAAGTTCGAGGGCCCCTACATCGTGGCAGCCATCATCAAACCAGGAACTTACAAGCTAAAACACCCTAATGGGACTGAAGTCCCTAGGCACTGGAATGTACATCACTTAGTTAAATTTTATCAATAACATCGGAGCGGCCAAGCCCTCATAACTAGTGAATGTATTATTTTACGGCCCATGACCTAAAAATTCTGAAGAACGAAGGCATTTTGAGGACACAAAGAACATGGAACAAGATTCTTACGAAGGGCCAAGCCCTCATATCACCCCCTGGCCCAAGGCCTTACCACAAGGAAGAACCCTCGGCACCAAGTGCCGAGGGTAGACAATACTATCACCTACAACAGCAAGAAATACCCACTGTCCTCAGATGGAGACCCCTCGGCACCCGGTGCTGGGGGGCACACCACTGACAACTTTCAACAAATGGGAAGAAACACCAAGTGTTTCCATAGAAGACCCCTCGGTACCAAGTACCGAGGGTAGACAACACAATCACCTGTGATAGATAAAGGAAAAACACCAAGTGTTTTCACAGAAGACCCCTCGGTACCAAGTGCCGAGGGCCGTACATCGGAACGAACACCAAGTGTTGTTCCTAAGTCGTACCCCTCGAGGACGCCTATACCGAAGGCGCCACCTCTCGGTGCCGGCAGCACGTAGTGCCCCCGGCCATTTGCAACCAGTGTGCAAATGAAAACCCTTCCCTGAAACGCTTTCCGCGTCATTACCCCAAGGGTATGACAGGCACGAGAAATGCCCAGGATTCGACTTTAAAAAACGGAACGCTTTCCGCACCATTTCCCCAAGGGATTGGCAGGCATCTAAAAATGCCCAGGATTCGACTTCCAAATCGAAACGCTCCCCGCGCCACCACCCCAAGGGTGTGGCAGGCCACAGACTATGTCTAGCGCCGAGGGGACGACTTTCAAAACTGAGGCGCTTTCCGTGCCATCCCCCAAGGGGAGGCAGGCTACAGACCACCATATCTTGTACCCAGGAAACGACCCTCGATCCCCTCGGAACTCAGAAGGTTAACCCGAGGGGGGAGCTAATGGTGTATTCTGTTACCTCCCGACAGGCCAAGCCTTACCAAGAAACCAAGTTTCTTGAAGCCTTCCCTTCACTACTTTAAAAAAATGGGGTGGTGAAGGGGAGTAGACTCGGCGAGAAATCAATGAGTACATCACTCCTACAATTCACGGAAACATACCGAGGGCTCCCCATGGGAACGCCTTCGGTACCTGGAAGCTCATGAGTACCAAGGATACCATTCACAACAGACATCATCAACAAATGGCTAAGTCCACTCAAGGATTGCCTCCGGCTATACCTAAAACCGAAGGCTCAAATACTACAAAACATGGCAAGCTCAGCCAACGACAGCTCGAAACGTCCCCGAAGACTACTATATAACAAAGCTATCAGATGGTGGCCAAACCAAATCAAGAATCACCTCCGGTACCTCACTACATGCCGAGGGGATACATCCGGACAATTCCCGAGGGAATCTGCCTTTTTATGCTAGACTTGGATTACAAACTCTCCTATATCAACATTGGGGGGACATAACAAACAACCGAAGGCTTTTTGTTGCCACGAGCCAACATTACAAGGCAAAGAAAACTATCCTAAACCTACAACGTATACAGCCGAAGGGTCCCCTCCTGAAGGCTAGCAGCAGGAAATACTTAGAGAAAATAATCTAAGTCCTAACTACTTTGCCCCCTGTGGGGCCACCAGCCAGCCGAAGGCACATCTGAGACAAGGTCCTCACATTCACCCGAAGGCCCTCCTTCATACAAACTACATTTAGAAAAATTTCTAAGTCCCAACAGTTTTTGACCCTCGGTCAAATCTCCATGCAGCCAGAGGGGTCGCACAGTCAAAGGCTTGATGAAACTACACTTAGAAATATTTTCTAAGCCCTACATATTTTGACCCTCGGTCAAATCTCCATGCAGTCCGAGGGGCCATACGGTTGAAGACTTGGTAAAAGTATACTTAGAAAAATATTCTAAGTCCTAACTATTTCTGGGCCCTCGGTCATATATCCAGCCAGCGAAGGGTACCTTACTACCGAAGGCTAAACTGTATTCAAACACTTAGAAAAAATTTCTAAGTCCTAAGCACCTCGCCTCCGGTTATCTCATGAGGGCTACACAGAACCAGAGGGAAGGAACCGGTCGGGGGCCAACAGATGAACAAACACTTAGAAATATTTCTAAGTCCTGAACATTGTGCCCTCGGTGAAATGTTTAGATGACTAAATAGGCCTAGTGGCCGAGGGCTACAAAAGGCACTATACTTAGAGGGAAAATTTCTAAGTCCTAACATACACACATACAGAAAAGGCGAAGGCATACAAACAGGAATGACGAGGGCATACATTCAAAGGAAAACAATTAAAGGGAACGAATTATATACAAAAAGCCCGAAGGCAAGCATTCATTCATTGAGGGGAGAAAAAATTGAAGTATACATTACAAAAGGGGCCGAAGGCCAAGGGCATAGAATCATTCATTACAACCAAATTGTTCAGAATTTGTTGAATACAAATTAGATATTAAAATCCCCGATGGCACCCTCTTCCGAAGGCTTTGAAGTGACCTTTGTGCCGGCCTCAGTATCGCCCCCTCGGCCTCCTTCATCAGCTCCGTATCTTCCAGGTCGGGCCTCTCGACATCCGAGGGGAGAGGAACACGGACATCTGGTTGCAGGGGGAAATCCGTATGCCACCGGGTCAAAGTCTTTCTGCTCGATCTTCAGATGACGGGCCATCCTCCGGTAGATGAGGGCTTGAGTAAAAAACTCACCCCCATCATAGTATTGTTTGCCCTTTCGGGAAACCCATTCCACATCGGGCCCGTCACACCATTCGTCGATGAAGGACTCCACGACCGAGGACAACCATTGTTTATGCTCCTCTGCTCTCCACCCCCTGCCAAAAATCCAAAGACGGCGTCCTCTCGGGCCTTCGCGATGGCATCCGCCTTGGCGGCTCTCTCGAGGGCTTCAGCTGCGGACCTCTCAGCCTCGGCCTTGCCCCGGTCTGCGGCCTCCGCCCACAGCGTCATCTGCCGAAGGCTCTCCTCCAGCATAGCCATCTGCCGGATGGCATCAGAGTTCTGGCAGATGAGCTCCCGCATCTTTGCATCATGCTCAGCCTTGCGCAGACGCCACTCCTCCAGCCTCCGGGCCTGTTCACCGAGGGCAATGCAAGTCTGCAAGTTATAAGAAGTTAGGAAAGCCGTACATTATTTCCTAGCACAAAGTAAAACAATAATGAGTCAAAAACTTACTGTGAGGGAAGACCAGAGGATCTTGTCCTCGAGGGCCAGGTCATCATCAGCCCCGAGGGCGACTCTGTCAATCTCGGGGGTCATGCCCCTCAGAAGTACCCTCGGGTCCGCCGTGCAGTTCATCACGGCTGTTCCTACCGGAAGAGAAACCATCAGGACCTCAGAGGAGGGCTCCTGGACACCCCTCGGCACTTCTACCACCGACATCTCCACAGGCATCCCGGAGGCGGGGCAATCATCTACAATGACCACGGGGGGATCCTTCTTCCCGGCATCTCCCGCTTTTGGCATTTTTCCCTCGGGAGCCTTGCCCGCAGCCTTTCTCTTTGCAGCGGCGGCAGCATCAGCACTTGGGACCGCCGACGGCCCCTCGGGCTTCTTAATGAAGTCACTGGCGGGTTTAGGGACGCCAGCATCCGTCCCCTTCGGGACCTTGGAGGATTTCTTCTTCTTCAGGTCAGCAAGCCCTCTGACGTTCATCATATTGACCGGGATACCTGCAACACAAGATGGGGTTAGGCCGACGGGTCATTAACAGATGGCATGAAGGTAAAAAGAAAAAAAAAACAAACTGTGTGCTAAAATACGAAAGTAAGGGTGCCCTCAACTGCTACCTCCGGAGGCTCCCTCAAATGCCGGGTACTTTTCATCCATTTCCCCTAGGAAGCGATACCGCCGGAACCCGAGGGTGTAGAGGTCCTCCTCTTGAGTGCACTCCTTGATGGCAATGTTCTTATCTCGGCCCTCCGGGATCTTGGCCAGGATTCTCCCATCCTTCTCGAGGGCGGCGCTTCTCACTTTCTCGTGCCTTCTGAACCGGTCACGAAGTTCCCTCGGGAAGGGGCTCTCGGCTAACTTTATGAAGCACCACCGGTCTTTACACCCTTTGTTGGAGGAGGGCGCCTCAATGAACAGTTTGAACAAGGCCACCTGCTGCAAATTCGCGAATCCCTCGGCATTCGCATGCCCCCCTGCACAAATTGAAGCTTTGGAAGAACAGGTCCAGGCTAGGCGTTACCCCCCGCGATTTGCAGAGATGGAGGAAGCCCGCGATGTATGAGTGGTTGTTCGACGTCAGCTGGCAGGGGACCAAACCCACGAACCAAAGGTATTCCCGAAGGAATGGGTGTAGGGGGAACCGGAGCCCCATCGATACGGAAAGGATGTGCACTGCAATGCAGCCCTCGGGAGCCCGGGAGAGGACGTCATCGGGACCCGGCACCACCACTACGACCGAGGGACCCACGTGTAACTGGGTGACATAGAGATCCGCCTCATCAGCTTTTGACCTTATCTCTAAGGCGGCGGTATTCAAGTAGGAATACCCCTCGGGCATATCGAGGGGCTTCCCTTGGTCTGCAACGCTGCCTTTCTTCTTGGAAGCAGCACCCTTCACCTTCTTTTTCCCAAGGCCACCCGGATGGGAACCGCGTTCAACGGCCGAGAGGTGCTGGCCTCACCAGCGCCCCGAGGGGGGGAGAACAGTGACGGTAACCCTCGCGCCCTCTTTCTGCGCCTCTTCCTCAGCTACTTGCCAGGCGAGGGCCAACTCTTCCTCTTCGCATTCTTGTTCGAAGCCATCGGCTTCCGCCTCGGCGACGAGGGCTTTCTGCAGCTCCATCGCTACAACAACATCTTGTCCCACTGAGGGATGCTCACTTGTGGACTCCACGTCCGAGATGATCTCCTCCTCCAACGAGGGTGGCCTCGAGATATCCTGAGAGTCGCTTTGCGAAGACATCCTCAACAGATGAAGGGATGAGGGGTTTCTAAGGCAGGAGGCTTCCTAAGGCAGTTAAGCACTTAACCTAAGGCCACACAACTACGACTTACTAACGCTACAACAGATGGGCGGAGAACTGACCTCGGAAGATTGATTGATCGAAGGCAGCTGTTTCTCTCTCTAGGAATTTGGGCAGAGCTTCGCTACAATGATATCGCACAGAGGAAAGAGGCCTGGCCATGGGGTATTTATAGGCGCCCAAATCCGGGCTTGGGCCTGAATACCGGGCCTCCGATACAAAATCATCATTACCAACCGACGTGTTGCCCAATCGGTGACGCCCGCCCACGGACAGCCAACGAGCACGCACCACGTGGAAGCCCCCCCCCCCAACGGCTATATTTTGACGTTAGATATTCCAACGGCTATATTCACAACGGCTATATTCTGGGAGCCTCCGGCTATATTTAGCAGCCCACTCCTTCATCAACCAAGAAACTAGCCCCCAGGCTTTTTACTTCACTCCACTTCATCAAGAAGAGCCCCCGGGTACACTTACCCAGAGACGCTCCCGGTTTGTGCCCCTCACACCACATAACAAATGCCTTCGGGCTCACCCCTTCAGAAGCCCACGGCTTCATAACAGGCACACCCCTCGGGGATCCCCCCTCAGCACTTTGAGGGTCGGGTAGCCCCCGGGGGAGTACGCCTCATTGACAGATTGCCTACGGCACACAGGTAACGGGAGCCCTCGGATACACTCCTCACCAACTAATCAACAAACAGGGGACACCCCGGTAACACTTCAACTACTACTCACATTCATCGCGCCCTCGATCCCCAGATTGAGGGACTCCCCTTCGGCGCCTCCAAGAATATCAACAGCAAGCCTCCGGCTAATCAACACACGCGCCCTCAGAACAAGGATAGCCTTCGGCATCAGCATTGTACTCCATTTCGAACCGGGGCTTCACATTTTCGATTCATCGTTGGGGGAATTCGGTGCACTCTTTTTCCCTCATTAGGATTTTTTCCCACAGGGTTTTTCCTAATGAGGTTTTTAACGAGGCATCCCCCCAAAATGAAACGAAAAGCGTCAGCCTTCGGCCCAAAACAACAACATGATTACTCTACTCCTTTTCACCACTTTGCAAGTGCCTCAAGGAGTGGGGGACTGGAGAACCCCCTCGGGAAAAATCACAAAAATCACAAACATGACCCCTCAAGTCCCGACATGTGGGTAACTGAGGAACTGCCCTCGGCAGAATAAACAAACAGCAAACTACCAACAACTCTACAAACTACAAACAACGGCGGAGGACGAACACAATTACTCCTTTTCCCTCAAGTACCTTTAGGCAAAAGGAGTGAGGGACTCCTGATGGAGTATATGGCCCGGGAACCCCCGCTCCACAGACTCCTACTACTCCAATAAAGGCCCAACAGGCCCAGAAAGCACAACAGGCCCAAATCACAGCGCTCAGAGTACCAAGCGGCCCACAATGCGCACCAGGGGTGCCTTCGGCCCCCTGGCCGAGGGCTCTGAATCTCACAGGAGGGTCAAATCAGGAAGACAAAGTTACTGGGACAAAATGGCGAAAATCAGTAGCCCTCCGCACCTAGAGCCCTCGGCACTAAAGGGGTCCCCGGTACTCAGAGCCCTCGACTAGTCATCTACAGCCGAGGGCACCTTTTCCGACATGATATCCGCTCCACATGCGTATGGATCACCGTACCAAGTACGACACCACATCCAACAGCCGCATTAAATGCGGCCACATGCGTTTGCCAGCGCCAACCAGTTGAGGTGACCTCTCGGCCAATGGACGCTTGACACGTGTCCCTGTCTGGCATTTATTACTACTATAAATAGCACCCCATTTCCCCATTTGTAACCAAGACACAAGAAGCAAATACGCTGAATACACTTTCTAATATACTCTCTCTCTCTCTACTTACTTGCTCTGACTTCTCTCTAGTTATTCCCCGTAATAACCCCTCGGATAAGCTACCCCCGGGTACACTATCCATCAACAACTAATAAATAAACATACCGGTACGTGCGTGGATATCTGCTTTGGTCATCTGTATTCCTCATTTGCTCTGTAATGTTTTCTTGCCTCTTTTGATTGCCCTCAATTGTAACAAACCCTCAAATTAGTACTAGTTCATTTTAAATAAAGTTGCAAGAATGTCAGATGCTTATAAAACGCCGGGATATTAAACAAAAATAAACAAGTTTTTTGAACCTTTTTTCTGGTCACGTTGAAAACACCATGCGTGAGACTTGCTTTGTGCTCATTGAGTCTTATTACTCCAGAGATTGAGCCGTGCGTTTGTAAAAAAATAGTGGGGTTATTGTCTTATACAATGCTTTAGAATCAAACAACAATAATAGCACCTCCGTTATATGAATGTGTTTGCATAAGTGTGAGTGTGTAAAAATTTTTAATGTAGTGGCCAAACAGTAGCATTAAAAAGTCTACGGGAATAGTCAAAATGTGTTGTTGTATTACCTTTCATATCTATTCAGATGGAATTTCCATTTGCATCAAAGGAACTTCTGGAGTGCTGGAGTCATAAAAAACGGAATTAGTTCAGAATATTACTTAATTTTGAATGTCATGTAATATTAAGTGTATAATTCTTACCTTTGGGTTGGATGTGCATGTTGTTTGTTAAATATGATCATAGCTGGGCTCTGTGTAGTGAACTTATTTAGCTCCCATGTCGTTTAAAGGATACAAGAAGATGTGTTAGTCGTGATACAGGGTTGGTATATTAAATAGGGATATCTAAATATTTACACAAGTATACAACATCATATAATGAGAAGAAAAGTTGCTGCATATTTAAATAAGGTTTGAACATGTTGGGTGTCGAGGTTTGGATTAAATACAGAAGAGAGGTTGTTGTGTGCTTATTCATTTGTGATATATGTTTGAAGTTATTGTTGTGTATGGCGTTCAAGAGATTGGAGTTTAGGTGATTGGGCTGTTCAAGGTAATAAAGGTGTCAGCAGTGGGGTTTGTTCAGAATCATAAATGTGAGAAGGGTGAGTTGGGGTGTGTTTAGAGGCCTTAAATTTAAGTTGGGTGTTTGTGTGGGTGGGTGAGTGAGTGGTTGGCGCAGTGGGTGGTTGAGCGGGGTGGGTTGATTGTGGTTTCAAATTTCAAATTCGGAATATAGAAAGTGAGTGGTTGGGAATATTAAATGTGGGTGGTGGGGAATATTTAATGTGGGTGGTGGGTCCTTAATTAATAAAGTTGGCTGGGTGGGTACAGTTGTCAGTCATCAGAGAGAGAATCTCGATGTATCGGGATTCTTCTCTGGAGTAATTTGTTTATTTGCAGTTTTTAAAAATGTATTACATGACATTTATTTTTCACCGTGAAGGGTGAAGGGTTTTAAAATACTGAAATATTATTACACCTGTACAAAACTTGGTGAGGAATATTTAAAAAAATTAGTTGAACTTCCGGAAAATGATATGAATAGATAATGCAGCCAATATGATTAATATCTCGGGTGGTGAAAAGAGACTGTTCCTGAAAAATTTGGAAAAATGTGAGAAAAATCATGGAAAATCCTTTAATATGTTTATTTATATTTGAAAACAAAATTTGAGAAAAAAATCATTTTGGAAGCACGGTACTTGCAGATTTGATAGATTTCAAAAAAAAAATTAATAATGTCGAATGGTTGTTCATATTTTTAAACTACAGTACCGGTGAAAGTAATATTTGAGAGATTTTCCCCAAAGGCGAAAAAATAAAAATAAAAAATATCTGGCCATACATTCGGATATTGCAGATCAGTGGGGGTTATTGTCGATTTGTTTTGGACGGTATATTCACTGCATTTAAGATTAGAAGATGCAGATATTCCAGTCAAAACAGGTAGATCTAAAAGGTTTGACAAATAGAAAAATATATTGCAAGGAAAAAAACTCCGGTGATGCGATTTCGCAGATCTGAAGTGTTTTTAGGTTTTTTTCTTGAAGATTTCGGTTTGTGTGGTTTTTAGGTAAAGAAAGTTTGTAAAAGAGGTCGTCTAATGTGCGTGCATGTGAGAGATCTCAGTTGTTTTTGTGTGTACGTGTGTTGTTGGTTCAGTGAGCGTACCTGTGATTGATGCCGTCGAACGGGGGTGGTGTTCGGCGTTTCGGCGGTTTCTTGGCGGAGTATGGTGCTGCTGGAAAGCGGTGTGCTGCTATCTGTGTAGTCACAGAGATGAGCGAGACAATCCGTCGGCGTAAATTTAGGGCAATTGTGAGGTATTGAGTGGGTTGCTTCGTATATAAACGTTGCAGAGGGGTGTATAGCTGCTTGCTTGAACCTGTCGAGGTAGCTGGGCCTGTTGCGGAGGGGTCTTGGGCCATATACTCCATCACAAGGATTCCACTTTTATGAGGTGATGAAATGTAGTTTTATTTGCGTCCAAATGAACAATATCAACATCACCATATATTCACATACAAATGTGTAGTGCTTTTTATATTCTCGCTATGATTTATTCTCAATTTTGCCACATCAAAGATTGTGAAAAAGTATGGCATATGGACACATCAAATTAAAACTTATATTTAAACGTCAATAGAAATCAAAGACAACAAAATTGTAATTACACTTAACTTTCAGCTGAAACTACAAAGCATAGCCACGTATGAGAACAAGTATTTGCCATTGTCGTAAATGAAATGGAATCAATTGAAGATTTTATGAACAACTACCATCATGAGCAAGTTATACTTACAACTTCATGAGGGCGAGGAGCATAGTACCATGAACAAAACAATAACAATTGGAGCACTTGCCCGAGCTTTGCGTAGATAACCAATTATTACTTCAACTATATTGAAATCCATGAAATCCTAAATTGTAGATGGATTTGTTCAAGTCATAAGTTTCTCATTGAGTCATTGATGACTAGGTGGGAGAAAAAGGTAGATAAATATTTTTGAAACTTTAAGTTCTTAAGGTTTTGCCATGAATAATACTAAAGAAAAAGGCATGGAAAAAACATGGATATATACAAAATTTGCAAAAGAAATGACCATTATGACATTTATACACCTTTTGTGACCAGTTCTCATTATCATCCGATACTGCAGTGACTCTGGTACCCCAATTACCGCCACCTAGTTACATGACCGTGTACCCTATTTGGGTTGTGGTAGGTTTGGTTCCGAACTTGGACCGTACCTTCGGTCTTCATCAGTCCCAGAATCGAGTGAAAAAATTTGATGAACAATTTTTTAGATTTGAAAATGGAAAACTGAAAAGTAAAAATAGAAACATTGGAGTTTGAAAAACTGAAAAAATAAAGGGCTTATGTCATAAATATCACGAAAAACTAGTTATGGACAAAAAAGAGATCTTTTTACAAACATTCCAAAAAAGTGAATAAAAAAGAGTGAGAGGACCATTATGCCCCTCACTTAACCCATTCCTACTGTGACTAGCGCTATCATGACCAAAGTCACAGTGATCGCTGACCGCCCGTCCATTGACCAACATCCGCACGTCTAGTAACCCACGATCGCCCGACCAGTGACATTGACCTATTTGACAGTGAATCAGTGATAGTTACCCGTCACCACGGCCTCCGCCTAGTGACCAATGTAACAATGACCACTCCGCCCATCCAGTGACCAACATCCACCCGTCTAGTAACCAACGATCGCCCGACCATTGACATGTACATTTTGGTAGTGACAATTACCCACCATCACCACCTCCACTTAGTGACAGTCGCCGCCCGGTGACTCACATTGCACTGACCAGTGACCATCCCCCGCCGGCGGCCACGGTCGCCGGTAACCACAACCTTCAGCCTCCTGCCTTACCCAACCCTACCAGTCCACCCTAGCCCTGCCCCCTATCTCACCAGTCAACCCCAGCCCCGTCCCGCCCCACCAGTCAACCCAGATCTGCCCCCTGCCCCACCGGTCCACACCAGCCCCTCCCATGTAAGAGTAGACTCATTGTTGCCCCCAATAGATCTTATCCACGCTGCTGGAACGCCACACGACATCGCCTAGAAGCCCTAGCTACAATTACGTCACAAGTTTGAACCACCGTCATCATCGCCTTCTTCTCCCTCGATCCTCGATTGCTTAGGCAGAAGAGAAGAATAGTCGAAGGAACTTTACCTAGGTGACACCGACGACGATGGAGATCGATGACCTATATTAGAATCGATGGCGAATCGAGACAGTGGTGACAACTCGGGGTAGCGACAGTGACAACTGCTCGAGGTGGCGACGGTGTCTGCAGCGGCTCTGAGGGCATCTCCAATGGGGATGTGGATTGCCAAAAAAATATCATCCACCTCACCCAATGGACCCTTTGAGAGCAAATGCACTTTCCAATACACAAAGAAATGGATGAGGTCCATCGTATGTGGTAATGCACAAGGGCAAGTAGAAGGTCTAGTTTGAGACCCTCGGTCTCACCTCCATCTCTTTGCCAAGTTGGTTTTTGTAATCATGATTCTTATTTTGCATAGCATTCACTTTAGCATTGGAGTAAAGTATTAATAGACCCTCTCCATTTGTTGTACACTTTAATACACCCTCTCCATTTGTTGTTCACATAAGCATCAATCCACCCTATGGATTGGATATGCTCTGAGCGGCGAATGTGGTGTCCGTTATGGCTGAAGAGATGCGCACAACACTTACGCGATGCACAGATAGGGTTAGGGTGGAATTAGGCTATCTTTTCCCTACTTATATGAAGGGTAATTTTGCCATTTCAGGTCTAAACAAGTATGTTTTTTGTCCAAATGGAACTATTGTTTCATTTTTATCAATTCAATCCCTTAAGTAATATATCCGTCATTCTTTCAAAATTAAAAGAGAACATTGAAGAAGGGAAAACAAAAAATAAAACTAGAAAATTCTCTGCTAGCGGGAACAAATGGAGCCTTACATTTCATCCCGTTTGGTAACACGAAAATTGTCTGATTCTGCTGAAATTTATGAAGTTCTGCTAAAGTGGTTGCATTGGCTGATTTAAAAAAAAATATTTTTAAAATATATTTTATAATAAAATAAAGGAAAAATATATGTAAAAATAGCTAAAATGGTCAATACAGTCAGAAAAGTAATT